AACGCCTGGGGCAGAGCTGAACTATCGAAGGGGGGCTATGAGGGGTCTGGGGTGGCATCCACCCCACCCCACCCCACCCCAGACCCCTCATAGCCCTCCCTTCTGATAGTCCGGCATATCTCATAATCCGCTTCCGATAGTCCGGCATATTTGATAATCCGGCACCCCCTGGGTCCTAAAGGTGCTGGATTATTGGAAGTTTACTGTATTTGAAAATTTAGAAACCATATAAAAACTACAATAAAAACTGATTAATCACAATTAATTTTTTTTTAATTGACAGCCCTTGTCTGAAGTTGGTTTTAGAGAACATGGACAAGTCCCTCTGTAGTCTCCAAGAATTCTTAGAAAGAACCACAGGTCCCTGAGGAAAAGAACCACAAATTCCTCTGATTCACATGCACAGGCAACTTCATTATCAAAGCCCAGTTTTGACAAGGTGGTCGAGGGTTCATCTGTTCCCCACTCGGTAATGGAAATGCGTTCCCATTTTTGACAATCAGGGGAGCAAATTATACAGACAGATGAGTTTGGGAGATTTACATCAGGCTATCCCATGCAGTTTACATACTGCCCCCCCTTCCCATCTCCTCTTTGGGGGTCTCTTCGTATGAGCTCTTACTAAGTCAAGAAATAAGACTCCTTTTTTGTATATGGCTGACACAGTCTGTCCCTGCTCAGAACAAAGGGAAGGATTTCTACACGAGGTATTTTCTCATGTCAAAGAAAAAGGGGGGGGATGAGACTGATTTTTAGATCTGAGACTTCTAAGCAAGTTTGTAAATTTGAGACTTTGGAATGATGACTGTCAACAATAATTTCTTCATTAGTCTCTTAATCTCATGGGATTGGTTTTCAGCCCTCATTCTAAAAGATGGATATTTCAGTATTGCGATACGTGTGTCTCACTGAATGTATTTGCGTTTCTTGATCAGCCAATATCACTTCCAGTATTGGATGTTTCCTGTTGGACTGTCCTCAGCTTCAAGTATGTCCTCAAATTTTATTGGTGATGGTCTCAAATCTTCATCAGGATGCCATTGTAGTATTCCCAGACTCCTATGATTAGCTATTCAAGGGTTCATCTCTGATGAAGTGCTGTCATCTGTCCAGAAAGCCATGTCTTTGTTTCTACAATTAGGACTCCAGCTCCCCAATTGAGAAGTCCTCTGTGAACTCCACATAGGCCACCAGAGCCTATGTTCCCCTGGACAGATTCATAATCCTGTCAGACCTTATCAGAACAGTTCAAATGAGCTTTCAAACCTTAGTGAAGTGAACTGTCTTCAGCTCCTGAGTCCCATGATAGCATGTGCTGTGTCACAGATCAAGTAAGGTTACACCTTTATTGCTTTGAGGGGTGGCTCAGGACAGTCTGCTGATCAAGGAGGCACAGCTTAATCTGACACATTTCTATTCCCTGTTAGGTGAAAGATTCCTTAGGCTAGTGGAAAGAAAACTGCGGTTTTGGCACCGGCATTCCATTTCTTCAGGTGATGCCAGTGATCATAGTAATGGCAGGTGCATCGCTGCTGAGATCGGGGTGTATCTTGATGTTGCTACAATGCAAGACCTATCACCTCAAGAGATTAGTCTGCACATGAACCTGTTAGGCGTTTCTGACTCCTTTCATTCTATCTCCATTTTCTACCTCCTCTTGGAGGGAGGTCTGTCGTGATGGACAATGTAACCTACAGGTTTTATATCATCTAGCAAGGCTGAATAAGATAACACTCTGTGTGTATTCATAAAGTTAGGAAATTGGGCATAGTTCATCACATTCCCATCTCAGCAATGTACCTTCATGACATGTGAAACACCACCAGCCAGTGTCCTCAACAGACATTTCTCTCAGAATTAAGAATGGGAATTGAACCCATGAACACAGGATGATATATTTCAAACATGGGGACATCCAGAAGCTGACCTATTTGCAAACAGGGGTTATTGTCTGACTTGTTCAAGAGGGGATGTAGACCTCCATTCCTTGGGAGACACATTACTATGGTGTTGGAAGAAAGGCTTGTACTGCAGGTTTCCTTCAATGCCTGTGAGTAGGACGAAGCTGGGATTATCCTAATAGTCCCAACATGTCTGAGAGAGGCATGGTACTCTTACCTGTTTTGATCTCCTTCTCTAGCAATCAGTTTTCTGTGTGCCCCTCATCTCTTGCAAGATGCTGGCAAGTGTTTTATCGCAACCTGGAAGTTCTAAGCCACTGGGTGTAGATCCTTGATGGCTCTCAGGGATAGCCTTCTCTATTCTGTAAAGGTATAGTAGAGGTGCTAAACAGCAGAAAAGAATCTGCTCATAGTATTTATCATCAGAAGCGGAAAAAAATTAGCTATTAGTGAGAACCAGCAATGTGCACCTGAATCTTCCTCATTTTTGCTTATCCTGGATTACCTGTTCAAAGTGTTGTATCAGATTGTATGATCAAAGTTAATTTGGCTGTGAAATCAGCCTTTTTTTCTTTACTGAAAAGATTATCAGTGTTTTCTCACAGTATAACTGTATGGTTCATTAAAGGACTGTGGGAACTTTTTCCTCAAGTAAAAGCCCTGACTCCAGTTCAAGATCTTAATCTAGTTTTCGGAGGTCTCACGAAGTCTCTTCCAATTTGCATCAGTGGAGACCTATTCCTTTCTGAACCATGAAGATGAACTGTTTTTAATAGCCGTTATGTTAGTTTGAAAAGTTGGAGAAATCAGGGCTTTGATAGTGGATCCTCCTTTTATTGTATTCTTCAAGGACAAGTTTTCCCTATGCCCATGCTCTAAATTCTTACCTAAGGTGTCACTCGAGTTTCATCTGAAACAAATTCCACTTAACTCTCCACCAGCGTAACTCAGGACATGTAGCTTCTGCCCATACCTTAGCGCTTGTATCCACTATGGCAGAGCCGTGGCTCATGAACCGCATGCGGCTCACGAAGCCTCTCCCCCCACGGCTCCTAAGCCACCCCTGCATCCCTGGGCAGTCCTCCCCCAACTTTGCCCTGGCTCTTCACACTGGATCCGCTGATATCTTGGCTCTTTGCCCGGAGTGGGTTGGCCACCCCTGAGCTATGGGGTGGATTGATTGCTGCAGCATCAACCAGTGGTCAATTTAGCACGTCTAGTAAAGACCCACTAAATCGATTGCCAACCACTTTCCTGTTGACTCGGTACTCCAGCAGAATGAGATGAGTAAGCTGAATCAATGAGTGTGTGTGTTTTGACCCCCCTGCAGTAAGTCGATCTAAGCTATGTCGATTTGAGTTACGCTATTAACTCAAATTGTGTTGCTTAAATCGACCTGTCCTTGTAGTGTAAACCTGTTCTTAGACATCAGATGAACACTGGTCTTCTATCTAGGTAGGAAACCCATCTCTATTGTGGACAGATCTAAAGGATCCACTGTTTCTATCCAAAAGCTATTGATGATTTCAGGGTTTCTTCTCAATGCTGCCAATACTCAACTTCCCGCATAGGGTATTCGCCCACTGTACAAGGTCATAATCAGTGTTGATGACCCCACTTAAGGATATTTCAGTAATTGAGATTTCCACAGCTACTACATTGTCTTCAATATATGCTTTCCCCAAACAACGTCCCTTGGTCTGTGCCGCTAGATCTGATGCAGCAGTTAACAGTGCACTTCTATCTTCAGTTTTGGACTCAGCTCCAAAGTCACCTGAAATGGAACACTGATCGGGGAAACTACTTGAAGGAGGAAAAGTTACTCACCCTGTACAATAATTGTAGCTCTTCAAGATGTATCTCTTTCCCCTCTGCTTTGGAGTTTCCTTTGTGGGACTTTACGGTAGAGAAGGAACTGATGGTGGTTCACCTGTGCAGTCCTATGTAGCCTCAGCATGTCTAAACCCTGCCTCTGCTGCCATGCTCCCTGTGGTAGTGCGGCTACACTGCTACATTTATGCACACTCAGTGGAAGAGAGCTAGTATAAGTACATGTGTGCATGCAGGGGAATCACAGGCATAGCTTTTAATGTAGTGTAGCTTCTCCACAATGTGTTGTCCACGTGTCTTCCATAACCTTCCTACTTTTCTGTTACTGTGGAGTCCTATGTCAACAGGATGCTGTTTCAGTGAAGGAACTGAAAGTAAGTTTCACTCAGTTCACCTTTGCCTTATGGCACCTGACAGCTGAAGACAATGTCCCAATTAGGGATTTAAGTGACTAGTCGACTATCTGATAAGCATATGCTTATCGGGTAGTTGAGTAGTGACCTGACTAGTTGCTCCCCCCGCTTGTTGCCTCTGTCAGAGAGAGGCAGCAAGGAGAGAGAGCAGGAGCTGGTGCAGGTGGGGAGGGTAGGGGAAGTAGAGGTGCAGTGGGAAAATGGCACGAGCGGGGACTAAAGCAACTGTTGTGCCTCTTCCTTCGAAATGGGAGGTGAGTGGGGACTGCTTGAGTCCCTGCTGCTCTTCTGCCTTTTAAATGTAGTAAGAACCACGGGTGGCTCTTACTGCATTTAAAAAGGCAGAAGAGCAGCAGCGATAGCAAGAGCCCCAGTTCCTCCCCCCACTTATCGATTAATCAAATAGTCAATGGAAATTCTGTCAGCTACTCGATTAGTTGATTAATCAAAATGTAACATCCCTAGTCCCAATTGGCCACTACTATTGACATAGACTCTGATTTCCCATGCATGGGGCAGAAGTGCATCACAAGTGGAATACATGTGGACAGTGCATTTCAAAGGATGACATTTACTGTAGGGGAGGGTAAGTAGTTAAGGTCAGAGACTACTGTTGGTGACCCCCTATTCTATATGAGAATTAGATAATTCATGAAGTTTTTACTGTGAAGAGGGATTTTAACAGCAGATTGCTAACTGTTTTGCATTTTTTGATTAATCATCAGAATGGGCAAAATGTTTTTAACCTGAATCTAGTTGTTGCAGTTAACATTTTAATAATTTCCTCCTTTGCACTGTTTTTTTTTTTTAAACTGAAAAATCTTCTATTGCCGTGTCTACATTTTAACATTTTCAGGTTTCTTCTGCAATGACCGATGAGATTTGTCGACTCTCTGTTTTGGTTGATGAATTTTATTCTGATTTTCACCCTTCTTCACAAGTTTTGAAGTTGTATAAAAGTGTAAGTTGTACATGAGTAGTTTGATTAATATAATTTTTGTCATTCACCTTGGCTCCTTGTTCTACCTTTTAGTATGTCAGTTTTAATAATTCATGAACTATATACTCCTGAGGGCATTCTATTTCACTTTACAATACAGAATTTGTGCAGAACTAATGTTCTGCACAAATTTTAATTTTTCTCCACAGAATTGGTGCTGCTGGACTCTGCTAGGGGCTGCTGGACCTAGCAGAGCCTGACTCTCTATCTTGTAAATGTTGCATTGCACAGTGGTGCAGAATTCCAACATAGTAAAAGCTAGTACCAGGAGCTTGTGTCTGTGCTGGGGTGGGGTAGAGGAGCAATCTGTGGCTAGGCTCTGGAGAGTGGTAGGGAGTGTGGGTAACTGGGCTGGGGGTGACGCCTTACAGTTGGGCTCTGGAGTGTAGGGGGTGTGGATGTCTGGGCTGGGTTGGAAGGAGTTAAGGGCTGCAAATGTTAGGAGGGGCAGAAGTATTCCAAAATGTGTCCAGGTGGCATATGTGACATACCCAGACAAAAGCATAACAGGAACTGGCTTGTCATAAGATTTTCTTTAACTCTATAACTAGGGAACTTTTTTTGTTGTCTGTATAGTTACATACATACTTGCTGATAGGTATTTGAAATAAATTATCCAAATACTTAAAGCTGATATGATTATATTGTGGTGTTTTGACAAATAAAATGTCTGAATTTTACAGAATTTTAAATTTTTTGGCACAGATTTCTCCCAGGAGTAACAGTATAATGCTTTGTGTAGGCGGTGTTCTTCCTTAGGAGATTTGCTCTCCCTATTTCTGCTATTAAATTACAGTAACTACAGATGATGGGGAGAAAGTTGCAAAAGATTTTGAAATTGATTCCATTTCAGCATTTTGAAGGGGGATTTTTTTTTAACTGAAATGTTTATCAGAATGGTCACTGACATTTTTAATTACTGTTTGGTGTATATTTACTGGGTTTTGGTACATGAAACATTTTACTAACAACTTTAAGAATACTTTTTGTAATTGAATTTTTTATCCGAAGTCCTGCATTCACTGACGTAAACATGACGTGGACACTTTCATTTTTGAAAAGGCCAGGTTTTGTTGATGGAATTTCTACCAACACTATCTTTTTAAAAAGAGCATGAGTCTTGTACTCAGGCCATGGTCATGCTTCCATTGAACTGCATGTTGAAATGTCCATTGACTTCGATAGTGCAGGATCAGTCTCCTGTTGAGCAAATAATCTACACTTCTTGGATTGAATGAGCACTCTACCTACCATCACTGCTCCCAGGGCATTTATACTTTAATGTCCTCCGTTGAACTTGGTTTATCTTTGTTCAGGCCAGTGAGCAGGTTGCTGTCAGACCAAGACAATTCTGACTTTGCAGAGCAATATAGTAGCACTGTGCTCCCTGAAATAGATGTATTGAAAACTGAAACATGTTTTATAGCTGCCTTCTTAATGATTGCAATGCTACAGAGATCAACCTCTTTTATAATTCTAGTTAGTTTACAATGAGAACTTGCGTGCGTGGTCCTTCTCCATGCTGTGCAGATCATCTGTGCAACGCTTGCCTCGGGCTCCTTGCGGCGCTGCCCCTTTGAAATGCTGTGGTGGCACTGCCCCTTTGAAATGTGCAGTGCTGCCCCTTTGAAACGCGGAGACCCCAGCTGACCCCAGGCTCCATGTGGTGTTGCTGCTTTGAAATGCCGCCACAGCATTTCAAAGGGGCAGCACTGCACAGAGCCTGGGATCAGCTGTGCGGTGCTGCCCCTTTGAAATGTCACCATGATGTTTCAGGGTGGTAGCGCCGCATGGACCCAGGGTCAGCTGGGGAGTCCCCAGCTGATCCCAGACTCTGTGCAGCACTTCCCCCTTTGGCATGCTGCGGCAGCGTTTTAAGGGGGCAGCGCCGCCCTATCGACTAATCCAATAGTTGATGCAAAAAATGCAGACTGTTTGATTAGTGAATTACACTAAACTTAACATCCTTAGTGTAGACAATGACTCTCTCCACATGATTTATTCTGCCCTAATCCCAGCACAAACCAGCAGACTTTGCACCAAAAAGCTCTGTATTAAAAGTGAGGTCAACTGCAATCCTCAGGCTCCTGATAATTTGGGGAAACTTTAGCTGTATGGGCATCTATTAAGCATCACACACACACATTTCACAGGTATTAAAGAAAATTTGCAGAAATTTTGAGCAAATTGTGGAGAATTTCATCCTATTCTTTAAAGGATTAGAGGGAAATATTGTCTGTCAATCTGAGATTTTCAGCTTAGGGAAGAGGAGACGAGGGGGAGATATGACAGAGGTTTATAAAATCGTAACTGGTGGAGAAAGTGAAAAAGGTAAAGTTTATTTACTTGTTCTTGTAGTGTAAGCACTAGAGGTCACCAAATTAATAGGTAGCAGGTTTAAAACAAACAAGCAAAAGGAAGAATTTCTTCATGCAATGCGCGGTCAACCTGTGGAACTCCTTGCTAGAGGACATTGTGAAGAGCAGGACTTTAACAGAATTCAAAAACTAGATGCATTCATAAAGGACTAGCCAATTAGCCCATCATAAGATGGGATTTTCAGGTCTCTCCTCCATGTCAGTCTTCTCTCCTGAGCCTCCAGTCTCTCGCTCTGTGTCCCTCTCTCTTTATATCTCTCTCCTCCTCCTACTGCCTCCCCCCCCCCCTCAGCTCTCCTCCGCTCCTGCCTCTCACTCGGGGGACCACAGAGCCCAAACGGTTGCTTGCACCACTTGCTCTCACGTGGCCGCCCAGCTGAGTTGCATAGAACTCAGCTGAGCACCAAGGCGGGAGGCGAAGGACATGACTCAGGCAACAGCACTGCCCAGAGGGAACAGCCAGCATTTCAGTGTTAGTCACAGACTTTGGGCTACTATTCATAAAGGATGGGTCCGTCAATGCTTATTAGCCAGGATGGTAGGAATGGCGTCCCTAGTCTTTTTGTCAGAGTCTGGGAATGGGTGACAGACGAGGGATACCTTATGAGATCTTATGCTCTTCTTCTCCCCACCATGGATAACAATACGATCAAGGATTATAGGAATTTCTTGAGTTCACCACACCTCAAAATTGTTCTAACGTAGCTGGTTTGCTGACATGTTTTCTTCATGAAACATTAGGAGCTCAACAAGCACATAGAAGATGGTTTGGGAAGGATTCTGGCCGACCGTTGCTCCACTGAAGTCAATCAGTCTATGCATCAATCACAGCAGGAAATGATTGGTAATATTTACAGAGTAACATTACTTTTGCACAGATATGAGTCTGAACATGGGCATGCTCCAGCTGAATCCCAAAAGGACTTTGTTTGCTTACAGTTGTTGCTTGTATGGGGCAACCTGAAGAAGTCCCAGTCATAGCTCACCCGCTAAGCACTGATCACATGAATATTGGAGAAGTATTTTCCCTCCAACAGTGTTTAATCCAAGTAAATTCATGCTTTTATTTTTTCCTCTAGCTAATTGCATACCCTGACTGGGTTTTAATCTGATAACTCTTTACAGCTCCAAGTTCCTGGGCACCCGTCCTTTCCCATTGGGGATTTGGGAGATTTGGTAGGAGTAATTATCCCAAGTTGAAGAAGCTGTGAAATATAGAGATTTAGTGTTTTTGTTTTTGTTTTTTGCATGAGGTCCCACACTCAGTTAGTGGTAGAGCTGAAATTAGAACACAGGGCTTCCCAAGTCATGCTAGATTACTACCTTTCTTTCCGTCCTGTGTCTTTTTAACCTGTGTATAGCTAGCTTAAGGGAGGGAACTATAAGTAAAATAACTCAAATTAGCAATGGTTGTGTTAAAATATAAACAGTGCCTTGATTGTCAGATATTACTGCAATGGAACCCTTACCTTAGTTCCCTCCCTGCAAACTAGGATTCTATCCTGAAGTTCACATTTTGGTGTGGTTTCCTTTCTGTACTCTTTTGTCCTTTATGGTAATAATTCAGGATTCTTTTTTTAAATGCCTCTGTCCCTGCAGTCTGAACTGAGTCCTAGTTTCATTACTAGGGCATGAGAAAATATATGAAGGAAATATATGAAGCCTTTACTGACTTATTCCTGAGATCTTGAGAAGCCCCCTCTTCCTTATTTTTACCCCACTTTGTAGGGTTGGCCAAGTTGTCCTTTGTCCATCCAGGACTTTAGGACTTTAACTGAACCTACCAGAAAGATCTGAGGTTCATCTCCAATCATTTTTTCCCCTTTTTGTTATCACCACCTTTCTGGATGGCTTTTTCTATGTTTTGCTGAAGTGTTTAATAGTTGACCCTAATGAGACAGATGATGTTTAAACTGTGCCATTCACAGGCTGAGCACTCTAATTATAATGGAAATTACTAAGTAAACACTCTGGTAGGTTAGGCTTCAGTTAATACTGTTGCTTATATATTTGAAATTTAAAAAGCCTAATACAGAATGAGTGCAACATTTAACCATCCCAAGATGAAAGAGTTTTTGCATGGTAACTACATTTTGTTAATCCACTTTGTTTTTAGAAAATCTGAAGCCACTATTACCTTCTGGTGTCCAGAATCAGCTCCAGATGCTAATCCCATGCAAGAAATTTGACCTCAGTTATGATTTGAACTGTCACAGTCTGTGTTCCGATTTTCAAGAGGATATCATGTTTCGTTTCTCCCTGGGGTGGACCGCCCTTGTAAACCGCTTCCTTGGGCCAAAACATGCTCATAGGGTGCTCCTTGGGCTGGCAGATCCTGCCTCACAGGTGAGTGCTTCTCGGCTCTTTCAGAATGGATTGGGTCAATATTTGATGTTTTATTTCTGCTCCTTATGTTCCTTTTGTCTGAAGCTTGTTTGGGTGAGGGTTGTCATTACTGGGTTATATTCAGGGCTGAAATGGCGCCAGACCAACTTTCTAGTACTTCCTGCAGTTATTGTATGTTCTTGGGAACTCTGAGTTGTGTTTGTCTGTAACTAACTTTGTGGACTCCTCTTCATTTACTGCTTGTGCGTAATTAAAGCAGAGTATATGAATTTGCTAGTTAGTTGGGGCAATGGAGTTTTTAAATATCAGCACTAACAAGTGGAAAGAAACTATGGTTTCCTGCTGTTACGATAAATGTAGCGATGACCCCCAAAACTGCAAAATAGAGCTCCAGATGTTATCTCTCTCGCCTTCTCTCTTGCAAAGCTTGAGAGGCTGTTCCGATCTGGGATTTTGGTTCAGCCCATCATGAGGTTACCATGAAATCTGGATTCAGGATCCACTAAAGATGTTGCCCTAGCGTCAAAGTTTAACAAAAAAAAAAATCAATGAGCAAATGGGCCTATTTTTAGGGGAGATTGGGCTTGGGAGAACTGCACGGTGGGCGGGAGGCAGCTAGCATAGTGGGGAGTGGATAGAAATTGCTGAGGCATAATGGAAATGAAACAACTAACTACAGTGCATACTAGAATCTTTAATTATGCTTGGGTCTGTTGTTTGCCTTTTGTCCCACCCCATCTGGGTGGATGAGAAGATCTTCCGGAACGGCCCATCTCCTGTTAACTCACTAATCCATTTGTTGAGCAACTGTCTAAGCTGCCATTACTGCTGTTGAGGATGAAAGAAATGAAGAGCGTTTCTGAATCTCCCAAACAGTCTTATCTACTTGAAAAAAGTCCAGGTTTTAACCCTGCATATGGGAAAGCAAAATAAATAATAAAACCAAGCAGTTTGCTCTACAGATCCATTGTGCTTATCACGGTTTGCCTTATTCTGCTCTTCTAGATCCCTCGTCCTTTAGCCTCCACCCCCTCTGCCACCTGTTTTCCTGCTGTCACTCCAGAGAACGTATCACAGGAGGAACTCATGGTTTCTTTGGTAACAAGTTTAGCTTCACTAACATCACGGACCTCTATGAGCATCATCATCATTGGAGGAGTGGCAAGTAGCATTAGCAACCTTCACTATAATTGAAAGCATGGCAGAGACTGTTCCAATTGCTTTTTTGTTTTGTTTTTTTGGGGGGTACTGCAAGCTATTGCTACTTCATAGGACTGGGTGCTTGTTAGAATCAGTCTAGTTAGCAATGAGCCTAGTCCTCAGATGGCATGACTCAGCATAGCTCCATTCAACTCATGATTTAAATAGAGCTGTGAAGTCAGTCTTGTTGAGCAGATACAGCTGAACAATGTTTGCTAGCCTCTCCTTTAAACATTTTCATCTTTATAGGACACTGCATCTGTTTTGCTTAACCCAGTTGTGTGAAAATTCTGCTTTTATTTATTTTTTAGCTTTTGAACAAAATTTCTTTCTTATCCTGTTCATCTGAGCATGCTGTGGCTGTTAGTTGACATGCTCCCTTCCATACACTTCCTCCTCAGCTTGGCTCATAAATAACTGTTTTCCAAAAGTACCAGTTTAATGAAACCTTCATCCTCTCCTACAGTTGGATTGAGCAAAGGAGGTGCGCAATAGGTGCACTTTCTTTTCATGAGCTTGACAAGTCCTGGCAGTCACAGGTGAAATGCAACAATTAGTAGTTAGCATGGTAAAGAATTGTATACTAATCAGTCGAGGCAGAATTTCTTTGTAAGGAACTACAAAATTGTGAACTTAAAATATTTACACTGAGTGATCAGTTTAATAAAGATCTTTGATATCCATTTTTTTTTAAATCCATAGACAAAGGCTCCAGGAATTAGTCTTGCTGTGCTCTAACCTGTATGACTCCACATGGGGATGGGCATTAAGCGGCCCATGAGCCAGATATAGTCTGCCAGGTCATGGACTTGACTTATTTGCGCATCTGCAGGTACGGCCGCTTGCAGATCCTGTTCACCACGAATTGGCCGGGAACCGCAATCCATGGCCAGTGGGAGCTGCAAGAGGTTGTACCTATGAACATGCAGGTAAATAAAGCGATGGTGACCTATCAGGGGCTATCCCTGGGAAACCATGTCTTGTTCATGGGCCGCTTATTCCCCACCTGGTATAATCTCATATAGGTTAGATACAGCATGGACCTATATTTATTCCAGATAAATGTGCTTGGTTTAATTATGAAATGATTTGATTTTTGTCAGGCTCCATTTGGAATTGATGAGAGTTTTGCTTTCTGCCTTCTACTTCATCACTAGCCATAAAGATTCTGTATTCTGAACCTAGTTATTATTCTGAAGCTGAGGCAGAAGAGGATCTAGCTACTTAGCTAGGTGTGTTGTACTGCAATGCTACCTGGATGAAAAACATGGTTTTTAGTAATCTAGTTAGACAGAAAAATACAAAGGGAGCAAATACTTTGAGCGGGAAGCTAACACTTTTCTATCCTCTTCTAATTATGACTATACTCTGACAAAATATATTCCCTAGATTAGACCTACTGTCACAAACCTTGTTCAGGTCATGAAAAGATTCTCCTTTTTCAGGTTTGGAGAACTGTAGGCTGGAAACTCATCTGTCTTTCCCTGAGTATGTATGGATTATTGTATGTCTATGAGAGACTAACCTGGACAACTAAAGCAAAAGAGAGAGCCTTTAAACAGCAGTTTGTAAACTATGCTACTGAAAAATTGCAGATGATTGTCAGTTTTACTAGTGCAAATTGCAGCCATCAAGTGCAACAGTAAGTATTATATTTTTCATTGTAGTCAGTAATACAGCAGACTTCCGATAATCCAGCACCTTTGGGACTCAGGGGTGCTGGATTATCAGATATGCCAGAGTATCAGGAGGTACTCCGGCAGGGGGGCTGTGGCAGGAGTGAGGGGGGAGTCGGGCAGGGAACGGCGCGGTGTGGGGCAAACTGGATGCTGGGGAGGGGCGGTGCTGCGGGACCAACCCGGCGGCTTCCCCAAGTCTGCTGCTGCTGAAACTGACCAGCGGCAGACTTGGGGAAGCCCTGGGGCAGAACAGCTGGGGTCCTGCCGGGTTGGTCCCGCAGCGCCGCCCCTCACCCCCCTGCTTGGCGCCCGGCTGCATCCCAGCTGCTCTGCTTTGCGCCTCTTCCCCAAGTCCGCAGCTGGTCAGTTTCAGCAGTGGACTTGGGGAAGCCATGCGGAAGCTCCAATTGTCCGGCTGGCCGGAGCACTTCCGGGTTCCAGTTGGTGCCGGACCACTGCATGCCAAACAATTGGAGGTTTACTGTACAAGAAATTCATTAGTGACCATTTATATGCATGTATTTGTCAATGAAAGATACAATAAAGAATTGAAAGGATGCCTAAGTATGAAGATTTAAAGGTCCACTTGAATTCTACTTAACTTCAAATAGATTTAAAGTAGGTCGAATTCTATTATGGCAAAGAATCCCCCTTTCATTTTTTATCATGACTTTGCAGTAGTTTTGCACTTTATTGTTAGTGTTGAAACCTCACACACCATGATTACCTTTTGGGTGTAGGGGAGAGAGTGAAAATGATTCTATGCACCATGGGGAAAAAGGAATATTCTTAGGTAATGTTTGTAAAAGGAGTGGGAGGGGAACTTCTGAGAAGTGTGGCTTATTTTTGAGGCAGAAATGTTATGGATATTGTTTCACAGAAAAATCATCACTTTTCTTGAGCTCTTTTGTTAACTTTCATTCATGTGCTTTTAATCCAGGGGTGGGCAATAATTTGAGGGAGGGGGTATGCCAAGATTTTGGAAGTAGTCAAGGGCTGCACTCTTCCGTGATATTGATGGAGGAGGTGCGCAGTCTGGGATGGAGGTTGAGTGCAGTAGGGAGCTTTGGGTAAGGTATTGGAGTGCAGGACTGGGAGGGAGTTTGGGCGAAGGAAGTGATTGTGACCTGGGACGGGACTGGAGGGTAGGGTCTGGGAGGGGGTCTGGGTTCAGAAGGGGGGCAGAGGGTTTGGGTTGTGTGGGGTGGCAATGGGTTGGGGGGGGGGAAGGGCTAGCATGCCAGAGACAGGCTCTGGCCAGCAGACTTACCTGGGTGACTCCTGGCCAGCTGCCCAGCACATTTCTCAGGCAGTTTCTCTGCCTGCTGTGCCCCTGCAGAGGCCAGGTGCATTGGTGAATAAGATCCTGAGGGGAGGGGGAATGGTGATTCACACCAATGGGATTGTACTGGGGGCAGGAGCAGAGAATGAAGCACCACTTCCCCCTCCCCTAGGCTTGCCACAGCCACTTTTCTGAGTGGTGTGGGGGGCAGAGGGAGGAGTGCAAGGTAAGCAGGAAGTCTGTCTGGGGCTCCCCATTGCATCCATGGGCCAGATCCGATGGGTTGGTGGGCCGGATTTGGCCCCCATTTTGTCCAGACCCGTTTTAATCTCTTTACTCATCCTGGGCAGGAAATGGACTAGTTTAAAGAACAGGCACTAAGGAAGCTTGCTGGTGACTAAGCACTTTATATTATGCAATTTTCATTAGTACAGTCCTTTTTTTTTTTTTTTTTTTTTTGCTGCTGTTGCTGGGAGATCAAAACATTGCCTGTCTTTCCATCATTCATAGATGGTTTGATTTGGACTATAAAAAAAACTTATGGAAAAAAGATGGTGGGACAGATTCACGGCTAGTGTAATTGTCTAATTTGGAATGAAGTTGATTAAGTTATACTAAAATTGAACTTGGCCTGTGTAATGTGTAAGCCTTTCATCTTGCATTTAAGATGCACTTCTAAATGTTAATTTTTCTTTTGGATAAATGGGAGATTTACACAGTAAGAAATGAGACCACTCAAAGGGTATTACAGCCTCATTATTTAGTATTTGAAATCGTATAGTTAGTTTATGCCTGATAGCTTTGCCTATACATTGTTTTGCCAGGGTAATTTTTGCCCCTAACTTGAATCCATCTGAAGATCTAGATTCTCAGTCTCTATAGGCAGTTTCTTAGCCCATCAGCTTGTTGCACTAATATGAAAATATGGCTCTGTTCTTGTGGTCAGCTGTAGCCATATTCTTTTCACTAAGATCTTGTAAGACTTGGGTCGGGATGGCTTGGCTTTTCGAACCTAAACCAGTTTAACTATATATAGTGTTCTGGAAGGACTGCTTCCCTCACTCAGTGATCATGACTGTTCTAATGGGACAGTTGTGGAAATTTTGTGTGCTGTCCTATCAAAATGTTTTTGATTTTTAATAACTATGGAATGTGTGTTCAGTAGTACTGCGCCAAACAGAAATTGTTCTTTATCAGAGTCAGTGGAAGGAACATTCAATATGGTGAATAGGGTTTGAAGTAGTGAGAAACCTCAGATAAGTGCAGACAGGATCAAAGCTGTTGGCTTGCTCAATTTGAATATTGGTGGCTCTCCTTCTGTGTTCCATGATAAGCACCTAAGTAGCTTTCTGAATTTAGCCCTTAACATCTGAATGAGTTTAAGTCCAGCAGCTTTGCACATGCCTAGTGGCAGGAACTTAGCTACCTAAAGGTTTGATCCTGCCTCACATCTAATTAGCTACATAGAGGTCCTGTGGGTTCTCAGGTGAGATATTCTCATACCTGTCTCACCTGTTGTTCTTATCCAGAAAGCATGCTCAGAGCCTGCCTCACACAATAGCTGGTGTGTGTTGCCAGGATACCCCTTTGGCAGCTAAGGCACTCACTTGGAATATGGAAGATTCAAGTTTGAATCCTTCCTCTGCCTGATTTATTCTGTTGATTTTTTTGAGGTGGGGGAGGAGGGGAGAGATAATCCCCTTACTCATTCTTCTTCATGCAGTTGTGATTGCATTGTTCTACCTGTGGACTCTGAAGTGCAGTGTGATGCAAAGTATGGTAAACAACTGTGATTACAAACTTGTTTTCCTTTAGAGAAATGGCCACTACCTTTGCTCGACTGTGCCAGCAAGTCGACATTACTCAGAAAAACCTGGAAGAAGAAATTGCTAGGCTGTCCAAAGAAATAGATCAGTTAGAGAAAATCCAGAGTAACTCAAAGAATCTAAGGTAATGATCCTTTTGTGTCCACTCAGCCAGTTGCTTAAAAGAGAAAATCCTGACTCCAGTGAAGGAAGTTTTGCCATTGGCTTGAGTTGGGCCTTGAAATTGTGGGACAGGATGATGCACGGTAATACATCTGTCTTGCCTTGCCTCACACAGCAATGGCAGCAGTTGTCCCCTAGAGCTATGTTAACTAGTGTGGTTTTTGGAGGAGATGTGGGGGAAATCCAGAAGAATATCACCCATCCTCATGAGGCGTGTAAGAGTTTAACCAGAGAACCAATAAGCGTATGCACCCAGGTAACATGTTTAACTGTGTAACAGAAATGGAGTTACTATTTTTATCCTTTTTTTAAAACATCCTTAATCCTCATGTTGATGTGCCTGGTGGTTTCTCTGCCGAGGAAAAAGAGATTTCTCAAGAATTCTTTTATTTTATCAAGCTCCAACAATGCCTATCATTGCCCTGCCTGAGTGTTTTTTTCCCCTTAGAAATGGAGCCTGAGTTCCCAGATCCTTGGTACAAAGCTTCCACCATAGACATTCTTGCTGGGATCAGAGTAAATTCCTTCCTGGTGGGTGGGCCCCCAACTCCTGCCAGCCAGCTGACCGTGCACCCTATAGCCTCCTCACCTAGCAACCATTTGGGGGTAATGCTTGGCTTGCTGTGTGCCATCCTCAGGCTGAGTCCATTGCTCCACTAGGGTTGTTTTCTAAAAACTTCTGTTAAAAGAGGTTCATCTAAACCAACATTAGCTATGGGACCCCTAGAGTAAACAGTGTTGGTGGTTTTTAACCGTACATGAGCTGCTCAAGTGAATGGCATTGAAAATGCTGCATCTACCCAGGGCTGCCAAAAGATGGTAGCAATGGTGAGATCCTGTTTACAATAGCAAAAGAGTGAGAGCTACGAAGGACGGTGAGGTTTTTTTTTTTTTCTTGCTACCAGCAACAAGAAATCCACACTCCCTTCTAGCACAGTAATTCCATATGCCCTTGTGAAATGCTTAAGGAACTAGCCTGTCCTGAGAGGTAATGATGTGACTACACTGCAAAAAGCAAACCCCACAAAACTGCAATAAGTCTCAGAGCCTGAGTCACCTGACACAGGGCTCAGAGCTAAAAATAATGGAGATGTTCCTGCTCAGGCTGGAGTCTGAGCTGAGACCTCTTTCCCCCTGACTGGGCTCAGTAATGCAAGTCCAAATCAGTTGAATCTGGATTTTTGGGTTTGTGCTGCTGCATGGGGAGTTTTGGTTTTGTCTGAATGCAATCTCAGACCCTGACTAGACAGAGCACTTGTTATTGCCTAAGATTTTGAATGTCCTGCATTTCATTGCTAACAAGAGGCTGAAGGCACTTATGAGAATTTGGATATATGCAAATAAAGCCTGGAGTATGGTGTTATTTGGTACTACAGGTGGATGGATCACTCTTCTCTTATTTGTTTTACAGGAACAAAGCCATTCACCTTGAAAATGAGCTGGATGTTTTTACAAAGCATTTTCTTCAACAGAATAAATAAGAGAGTCCTTTTATTGATGGCTTCCTTGGGTAATGGCCTATGGGACAAAATCATACAATGACACATTGCTCCCTTGTGGAGTCACATGATGAAATGATTTTTAGAATTACCTTGATTATACTTGTCAGATACTGTAAAGCCCAGTTCACATTTTTGCAATGAACTGATCTAAAAGCTGTGGTAAAGAGAAATTTTGCAAAGCAAAGTGATTTATATTTACTGATGTACTGAATTTATTCTTCTGGAGATTTAAAATAAAAAAAATCCCCTGTATTTTGTTTTAGTATTTGTGGCAAATCTCACATTCCTGGCATCCAGGAGTTATGTAAGGAGAGAATCTGTTCTTCCTTCTCTCTCACATCAGTATCAATGGTTCCCAGTTCTTTAGAAATAAGCCAGTGCCTAGATGCTGTTTTCATTCATAAAACAAATATGACAAAGTACTAGGTGAACATCTCTAAAGTGCTACCTTAGACTATCTGAATGCAAATAAAACCAGTTAGGCTGGGCTGCAGTTACCCTACCTTTATTCATTTATAGACAGATCTGCCATTTTTATTTGCATGAATGATAGTTAAGGAAATTTGATTCTTTCTAGTTATTTTAGAAAGTTTTAAACATTTAAGTGTAGTTCAGTGATAGAATGGCAGAGTCATCAAACACTGAAAACCAAAGTAAATTAATATGTATAAAGTGCAGTATGCAAGCCTTCACAAAAAGCAGGCTTTTTCTTGCTATAAAGGTGCTCTAGACTCAGCTGAATTTTTGCATTATTTGGGATAAAGCTTTTGTCTGAGCACTGCCTGAAGGGCTTGCTGTTTTCTATTTATTTGGGCCCCGATGGAGCCTAGCTTATGAAGATTTCTCACTATATCAAATACCTGGCAATTTCACTCAATGTAATTTAGGGCACTAAAAACTGGTTTAATTTGCAGGGGAAAAAACTGTTCCTTTAACTTGCCAAACTAAATTCAATATGTTAACTATTACAATCCATATGTACACATAGTTTAGTTGGTTCCTTAATAAGTAGTACACCAGCTACCTTGCATCTTTTACCCATGTCCTAAAGTACAAGGTTCTTTCAGTAGTATTTAGCTCAGACGGACTTATTACAGTGTTTGAGATCTGTATAATTCAAGGCTTCATTTTTGTGGAAATTGATTTACTTCATGAGTGCTGTTTACTTGTTCCCTATAGTTTTGCTAAAAGACATCAAGCTTGAAGGCTTGATTGTAGCAGTGAAAATAAAATTTAAAAAATCTACAGGAGGAAAAGTGTGTGTGTGTGTGTGGTTCTTCAGAAAAGTATGGCTCCTTTGTTGCCTGATGTCATAACTGCTCCTTACACATGATTTAGGTCCTATTCATTTAAGGGTATGCATGAGTGAGTTGTGGTTTTCCTGTTAACTTTAAGCTTTACAAAAAAAAAAATCCTGGCTGCTCCCAACAAGCAAGTTCACTGTGCATTTTTTAATGAAGAGGAAAGAACATTTAACTCCTGAGCAGCTGTCTCTCTCACTGTAACGTATGTTACTTTTATCTAAAGGAATGCTGTTGGGCTCTGTACAAATTAAGTGCTTCCATGGGCTATTTTAGAAATTGGCCTTTCCCATAAATGTATTCTGCTCTCATCTTTTAAGAGCATGGCAAAGCTCCTTCATTTCCCCTGATACTTCAGCAAAAAGTAGTAGTACAGGTTCAACTGCTGTAATACAGCACCCTTAGGACTGGCCCAGTATTGAACCTGAAGTCAATATTGTCTGTCAGTTTTAAGAGTGGCAGAAATCTAGATGCTCTAATCACTACTGCAGCCCATTGGATCTTTGTTCAAAAAGATTGACTTGAGCTAGGTCCAGAGTACATTCACTGCCTGGATGAGGCAGTGCTATTTTGTGTCACATCTTTGACTAAAGACATAAGTTAAATATATTTCCATTCTTTTCTATGTATGCTGGAAAGTCTCTTTTCAGCCACTTATAGGATCATGCACTAGCCGCTATGCATCATTTGCCTTGGAAAGATAGCCATGATAGAAGGAAGATTGTTAAATAAATACACCACAGTGAGTCTGGTTAAAAGCACTTGTTTATTGGTTACAATATCAACTCATGGCAACATCTTTCACTGAGCCACTGTACAAATACAAAGAAAAGACCCATTAGGAGGACGCTATGAACGGAGTTCATAGCAAGTGATTTTTTTTAAACAGGGGAAGTCTATACAACAGCCCTGCTATAGAACAAGTGGCACAAGTCCCTGTTTTAATTAGGTTAAATAAAAGCTTTAAGACTGTTTCTGAATACATACACAATCCAAAGGCAGTGCAGAATCACTTCATAATTGGTAACATTACTGAAGGTTTTTCATCTAAGTAGTCAGCAACAAGTGAAAATAAAATTAAAGCCATTAGATGGGAAATCAGAGCTAAGCGCCAAACTAAGAGTCAAGCATGTTTTAACAGATTAGTTTTGGAGTCCTTTGGATGTAATGTTGTTGTACAAGTGTTCAGATGCTTAAAAAAAAAAACACAAATAGAGCACCATTGTGTAAGTAAAACAAAGGCTTGAAATATCTAAGACTATTCCACTGAAGTCCCTATTAGTCAAAACCTAAACATACTGTGTGGTATAAGAATGTCAGGCACATTTAATCTGTTATCAGTTATAATCAATTAGTAACACTGTTCACACATTTACCATAAAAACACTGCATTAACATTCTGCATGTATTTTACACAACCAGCAATTGGATAAAAAGGCTTGTGGTGCCTCTGAAGTGTCGGAAGTAGTTTTACCAGCATGCATGCCAGATTACTGTATACAAAGTGCACCATCAACCCATGCTTAATTACTTTACAGGAAATGCTATCTCAAAATCTGTCATTCTGCTACACAACCATTTCATACCAACTATGTGAATTAGCCAATATCTATTCTCACCAACATTTTAAAGCACAGCACTAAATCTAGTGGAGGTGACAGTGTCCTCAAAGACTAAGCACTTTTGGAATGTTTCTCACAATATTTTAATTTCACCCAGAAGTAATGTGAACTTCATGATGGGACAAGTGGTTACATTAACTGAATTAAAGAGTTACCTATTTCCAATCCATGCATTACAGTAAGCACACAAGAACTAGCTGGCATGTCAATTCAGCACTGCCAAATGAGGGTCAACCGCTCTCCTCTGAAGAAAGCAGTTTTAATGCGTTTTTCTCCTCCAAATAATCTTGAACCAGCAGTTCTGTTAAATAATTAATAGTTTATGACATTCAACAAGGCAGATGGTATTGACAATTAGGAAAAAAAAACCCTGGAGATGGTTGAAAGACAGCACACACATTAGCCATACTAAGTGACTCTACATTAGCACAACACCATGTCAAAGCTTTTTGTGGTTTCTAGAATCTCTGCCAGTAAAGTGATTGATAAAGTCTGAGTACACATGGGAGCACGTTCAAACTAGAAGTTTGCTTGATCAGTATTCTTCGCCATATAGCTAATCAGCCTTAAAAATGTTGGCAGAAGCTGTACCTGAATTAAAGAAATCTGTAATTTCATATGGAGGCACATATTTCCAGTTTCCTAAATTACAGCTTCAACCAACTACATATTTGCTAAACCACTTTGTTCAAATATTAAATCAATTTTTAAATGAAGACTGGAAAAAGTTACTTTCCTATCAATTACAATTTTTTGGCACAATGATCAAAACTGTTTTTAGTACTAAGTATTACTCAATCAAAAACTTTAAATTACATCATTTATTGGACATGAAGATTGCTGCTACAACTGCAGAGCTAACTTTTCACAACAGTTTAATGTGTACTCCATTGTGCTGAAAAATCCACTGCCTGTATTAAACTAGTTCGCTAGCATGTGAACAGTTAAAACTATACTAACCTGCACATCTGAACTTGTATTAGCCTACAGGTATACATCTTTTAGTCTAAAAATCCCCACGGAGACACATTCTTTGAGATGCAGAAGTCATGATGAAAGCTTTTAAGTAAGACCTGCAAATGGTGGTTTATTAACCTCTTTGTAACAGAAGATGGGATTTGGTGCTTGCTTTAAAATTAAGCTGCAATTAAACTTCATCTTAATGAGTGTGCCATCTTGAAAATTCACCCAAAAGAAATATTTAAACCTGAAATAACTCATGTAGGCTCATTATATGTAGAAGTCCCACTATAAATGATTTAAAAAAAAGCAAAAGAATCCACACAGACTTATCCAGGAGTCCACCAGTAACCACTATTTTCATGCACATTACTCCCAAGAGTAAACATTTCCTCAGGTGTATACTTCCCTCTTAATATCTGGGATGTTTACATCCAACACAGGTAACCAGAGAGGAGACATACTGGGACCTGTACCTACACTACAGTAGCTGAAGGCAAAATCTGGTAGCTTATGTGTCTTACCCTTTTAGAAACCTTTTTTTAATTGAGAACCAAAAGCAGGTGGAATGGCTTCCAGAAGGGCAATATTCAACTCAGATTCCAGCCTGCTTACTAAGGGTTTAAACAGAACAATGATCATCATTCATTAATTTCTAATTCTGTCCTACATCTGTACTGAAGCAGAGGGAAATTTATGATATTTAATTGCAGATATTGGAATTCTCTTTATAATACAGGTTGAACCTCTATGGTCCAGCAACATCTGTGATCCAGCAAGACACGGATGTTAAAGCAGCAGAGAGCCCCAGACACAGATATTGCCAGTGGTTGGCAGCCTATAGGGCCAGTGGACTGAGGTCAGGGAGCCCTCATCCTGCCACAGCTGGAGTGAGACCAATCAGAGAGAAGCCCCATGCATCAGAGAAGGGCCAGCAGGGGTAGGGAGCCCTGCTGCAGCTTGAGTGAGATTGGTCAGAGAGAAGTTCTACCAGCTGGATCTGTGCTGATGGCCTAGAGGGGGGCTGGTGGCCCACAGTGGAGCCCCACCAGAGGACTGCGGACAGCGGAGTCAAGCAGGCATGCTGGGAGTAGCGCAGTGGCGAGTACCAGGAGAGCCTAAGGCCTGACTTCCCTTGCTTGGTCTGGCAAATTCCCTAGTTCAGGTCCCAAGGGTGCCAGACCAGGGAGGTTGAACCTGTACTTGCAACTACGCAGTCACTTCAAGATGCACCTTTAATGGGAAACTGTTTAGTAATTTATTTTACTCTAAGACTTTTACTAGCAAATTTTCAGAATGATTCACTCAACCCAGAAGCAGCTGCAAGTTAAAAACAAAAGGCACCATTAAAAAATATCAAGTGTTCTGCCTGGCCTCAAGAGCTGCCCTCTTGAAAAAGATAAAAATATTCCATAAATAATTCTGTTAATGCAAACAGGCTGTAAAATAAAACAATCTTGCTGAAAAGAAAATGCAAATGAGTTTCTGGGATCTACAGCATAACATGATTTTGGTCCTACACCATAATCTGCCTTTAGTAAGTGTATACTGCTCCAGCACAGGATGTGCTTTCAATAGATACTGAATTTACTGCAGTTGGCACATTTATTGGCATCTCCACCATTGTAAACATGGCATATTTACAGGCACAGTCCAGAAGTACTGAAATTAGAATTACAAGTGGTAGAAATTTCACAAACAGTGGTCTCAGCAACAAATCTCTTTTCATGTTACAAAATGCTGGGCATTTATGTTCACAAATTGACCCAGGAATATTTGGCCATGTTGCACCTTCAGATGGGGGTAGCAGATTAACTTTCAGCTTTATAGTAATCTGTTTAAATACACACATTTAAAATAAATCACTTAAGAGAAGCCAACAGAGAATGGCCCTTTCCTGAAAGTATCAGGAACAACTCCGATTCCCCCCAGGGACATCCATCAGAAACATGGACACGACACCAGCACCAAAGAGTTAAAGTGATCCTCATGGGTAGTTTCAAATAGGTTTGAGTCACATGACTTGTGATTAACTACACAATAAGGAAATGCTTACTAGCTCAAGTGCTCTCACTCAGCCTTTTATATCTTATCAAAATCAGGCATATAAAAGGAAATGGCTACTTACTGTCAGTTTGCAGACTGGCATCTAATTAGATGCTTAAGCACAGACCACCATAGTTGTAAATGAACTTGCAGAATTTTAAAATTTAGAGTGAAAACTTTTTAAGAGGATCATAAGAGACTGAACAATAACCTTTTGCTATTGTAGATAACGAGGACGCTTCATCCACTACACAAGACATACATGTTCTGTTGCGGAATATTAAGGTAAACCTCTAACTTTGCAGTTCTAGTAAGGAAGTCACTGTATTTCCTAAGCCATCTGTAGGAAGCCCTCTTAAATTTCTTGATTTGCTGTAGTAGTTGACTAGCAAATTTGTGTACACTTTTAATAATCTATTCAGTCAACTCCATGCTAGAATGCCACCTCACTGGGCAGCTTCAGTTTGTAGTGGATCGGAATCCTCTTATTTACAGCTAAATTGTTAAAAGGAAAAAGCATCAATGACTTAATGTGTTACTGACTTGTATACTCAGAATGGCATTAAAATTCTCTTTGTGCTTGGAGGCCATGGTTGCGGATGGATGAACCAGGAACCACTGGCTGGAAGGATCAACCCCCATGCTTAAACAGACAAATAGGTCTAGAAGTGAATAAGTAAGGCGCTAGGTATTATCTCGGAGTCATCAGGGCCTATTTTATTTTAAAAAAAAAACCTAATAATTCAAATGCCTTCCATTATAAAAACACATACATACCATTGGCTTCACTTTATCTACAGTAAATTCACAAAAGCATTTAAAACAGCGATCTAGTTCATCCACTACGAAACTCAGAAGTGACATCTCAGGTTAAATGCAAAGCTATAAATGTAGTTCCTTAAAAAATGCAAACATATTTCTTTACATTCAGACAAATGTTACATGATTGGCTGCTATAATGTGTATATTCTGTTATGTACAAAAAAAGTACAGAATTAGCAGACTTTTAGCACAAGCAGAAATCCCTCGAGGACAATCTAACCAAACCACCAAAAACAAAAAAGACTGGCTCTTAGTTTCTCAGTCACCATGATTATGTGTGCTGGCCTGGCCCCCTTTTTAAAAGTCAGTGATTTCTCCACCCCCACCCCTATTTCTTCACTTGATTTTTTTCTAGTTTACAGAAAGCCTTTTTGTGTAATAATCAGTGAATAGAAAAACTTCACCTGCAAATACAAGGTAGAAATGTTATTTCACAGCTATAGGCTGCAGCATTGATCTCTCCAGATCTCAATGGAGAATGTACATGTTTGTCTCCCGGTTAATTCCAGATTCTGAGAAAACTGTCCCAAGACCCTGTAGCTACAGCCATACCATCATCAGTAACACCTAAACAGCTGACACGGTTGTCATGGCCAGCAAGGACACCTGGAAGAGAATATGGAGTAGGTTAACAGCTGAAGTTTTTAAATTTTTGTACATTACTTTTCAGGTTAATGTTCATTTTAAGATCTCTTGAAAGAGGGTGGAGTTTTTTGTTTTGTTTTTTTAATGTGATAGGTGTTTTAACAACCTTAAAGAAATATTAGTTCCCCAACATTCTGAGTTAGCACCTACCTTGGGAAATCCTGAACACTCAAACCAAATAAATCAGTCCTTGGCAAGGTCTATGTCAAAAACAGACACAAACCCACTTATTATATACTACAGAAAACTTAATATCCCTTTCCTAAATATCACTATTACCAGATCTGAAAATATGAAAAAATAAAATGCAAGACAGGGATACAAAAAGTTGCGTAACCGACTTTTAAAAGGAAGCAGAGAAGATTTCATGATTCAGCAGTACCCACAAGTACTACCTATGAACAAATTTTATGTTTAAAATTTAGAGAAAGTGGAATGTATTCCATGTTGAGATTCTACTGAAGAAAAATAACTGCATCTCACTATAGATACCATTTACCAACCTGCTCTCTCTCCTTTCAGAGTATCCCACACATTGCAATTGAAGTCATCATAGCCTGCTAACAAGAGACGACCACTTTTTGAAAAGGCTACAGAAGTGATTCCACAGATGATATTGTCATGGGAGTACATCATTAACTCCTGATCTGCACGCAAGTCAAAGAGTCGACAGGTAGCATCATCAGAACCAGTTGCAAATGCATGTCCATTGGGGAAGAACTGAAAATGAAAACAAGGCAGGAGTCTGACAAGAGAAAAGTGTTGCATATGCAATGTTTCAAAAACAGCATGTAGAGATCTTCTTTACTGAGATATTCAGATACTGTACAGAATTCATAAAAAAGAAAAAAGGACATAGACTGAAGTTTCAAAATAAAATGCAACCACTGCATACACACAATTATATTTAAGATTGCATAAAAAAGCCTCCATCTGAGCTTACTTGATTTTTCATATGCATTTTCTGGAAATACACTTAACTGTAAGGTTTTAAAGTGCAACTCATTGTAATCTTTGTCAAACCTTGCAATTTTGTAACTCTCTGAACTTACAAAGCAAAGTGGCTGAAACTTACTGTAAGCTGCAACTCTGTAACTCTCAGCCACTTTGCCTGTAACTTGCTCTGAACTGCATTCTTCCCTGAGTGATGAGGAGAGTGAGTGAGTGTGTTAGGAGTTGCAAGGCTGGAGCACATAGTGAAGAGTCATTAGACTGCTGTTTTGCTGGATAAAGGGAAGTCTGGGCCTGCTCCCTGGTGACAAGGTCGATGAGTCACAGGGGCCATTCAGACACAATAAAAGGAGAGGGAGCCCGTGAAACTCTTCTCTTTCTTTCCCTGCTCCTGAGAAGCTCCTCTCTACAGCTAGTGTCTCCCCTGACAAGCTCCCCAGCCATGATGAGCAGACAGACCCTCCAGAATCAACATGCCTTGGCTCCTTCTACAACCCATATGTCTGTGTGAGTGCCCGAGGGCAGGAATGAATGTGTGCGAATTAATGGGGGTGGGGGGTGTTTGTGTGTGAGAGAGATAGCTGGTCCCCCTTTAGTTTAAACCTTTGGTGGCAGCTCTATTTTTGTAGTGCATATAATGGGGTGCTAATTCCTCAAACAATAAACCCATGCTAGTGTAACTCGGGGGGGGGGGTTCTCCCATGGGAATTTTTGGGGTAACATTTAACACTTGCAATACTGACCAAAAGCTACACTCCAGTTTATAAACATTACAAGGGTAAGTATAATCAGCATTTTAAAGCACTAGTTTCACATTTGGTGTCTAGAGTATTTTAAATCTGCCCTTTTCTTCAGGAAATCCAAATACACATTGGTTCACAAAAAGATCTCCCCCTCCCCCTCTTGACATATATTGACCATCTTGAAGTTTTATTCTTTACTACTTAAAAAAAGTTACTTACCTTCTCTCAAAAGAACAGTTACAAGGTGTTGCACATGTCCATTACACGAGGGATGTGAATGTCTCATGCATCAGTGCCACAAAGTTTTCACTAGAAATACCCAAAGGGATGGCCTCTCTTGCATCCTGGTATTCTGTGCACCCAGCGCGGAGGGTATACCAGGACAGAGCCACCCCAGCTTACCTTCACACTACATTTTCTTTGATCTGGTGTACAAAGAGTGAAGTCAACCTAGCTACAACACTCACTGATGTGAAAAAATGCAAAACCCTAAGCAATTTAATTAAGCCAACCTAACCCCCAGTATAGACAATGTTAGCTTAAGGGAAGCCTAACTATTGCTTCTCAGAGACGGATCACCGATGCTGATTAGAGAACACCTCCCGCCACAGGCGTAGCAGCTGTGCCACTGTATAATTTCAAGGGCAGACAAGCCCCCAGATGAAAACAGACCAATGAACTCTGGTATTGTGGTTAGCTGCTCTCAAAGGAGGATTCTCTGAGACTGACTTCTCCACTGAGGACAGCATGCCAAACTGCTGTGAGGCATACAGCTTCCTGGATGAAACAGTGATGATGGGGACTCCTCTTCTGCTGCATGTGCTTTCAGTTACACTGATCTGCCTATGCATGCATATATATCACTGTTACATCAGTTGAAAACAAGATAGAAACGTTGCTCCTTTCAGATCTTGGGCATACAGGTCCAAGGATTTCATCACTCCCCTAGAATCTTTTAATGTATGCACAGCTTCCTCCACACCCCATAATTAATGGGAGAGCCTTCAGTGGTCTGTTACACTTCTGCTGGAATCCCCCATGCCTGAATCCACAATGAATGATGCATGCTTACTGTCATCACCATGATTTGCAGCTTAGTTGGCCGCACCTGGGTAAACTGAAGGAAAGGCCTTGTGACAGATGACCTTCCATCAGGAGGGACTGGAACTCCCCAGGATCATCAGGCAGCTTGTTGAGGAATCATGAGTTAGGTATCCTAATCTGAAAAACCATAGCAAGCCCAGAGGGTATGATGATTTGCCATATATAGCTGAATAAACCTTTTTACCAAAAAGGTCAGATGAGGCGAGGAGGTTTTTCGACAGAAGTCGTATTTTCTGTACCCTGCAAACATCTTCCCATTACTGCTGCCACTACCAAGAAACCTAGTACAAGGTACTAAGACTGCATGTATCTCTGCAATGGGAATTACTCCTTGAGTACCACGCACTTTGCTAATAGCATGAGGGATGTTGGGGACTGCCACAAGGCTTTTATAGGCTTCATAAATGCTTTATTCATAGAGAGAGCAACTTCCTCTACCATACTTGGGTATAAAATAGGGATGTAAAGAGGAGTTTACCAGTTACCCAGTGTCACCCTTACTGGGTGATGCTTACCAGGTAACAGGTTCACCAGCAGACTGGCCAATTAACTTTTTAAACATGATTTTATATCCCTAGTATAAAATGTCTTGCAATTGAGGGGTTTGTCCTGTACAAGCTTTATCTATATCCCAAGGGCTGTAAACATCTTTTTCAGGATCTCATGGTAGAATTTAAAATCATCTGGTACCAGAAATGTCTTCTCTCTAGTAGAAGCCCTGAAAAGAGGATGACAAAGCATTCAGACGCAGCAGGTTAGAACTTCCTGAGGCTGATTTTAAGCTTGCAACACAGAAGGACCAAAGCAGCTGAAGACCACCATCAAACAGCCTTTCACTTTCATGTGGAGATACTTCCCCCCGAGGGATTTGTTTCCATAGAGCAGTGGTTTCCAGGCACTGACTTCTGATGGTCTGTCAGTACTGGGCAGGGATACTTCCCACCTCTGGGATCAATTTTTGTACTGCAGTAGAGACAAAGATCTAAATGCCACAGGCATCCCCCACTGTACCCAGGAGGGCCAATGAGGGTGCCAGTATGGTACTAGAAGTCAATTATTTCTAAACTAGCCCCTTCTATTCCTTTGATCTACTCTTGTCAGGATGACTCCTGTGAGGATGGGAACACCCCCTGGTTTCCTGAAGTGGGAGACATCAGAACCCACTTCAGACTGAGGATAGTAAGAGTACTCCAAATGCTAGCATGGAGCAATAACTGTTGGAGTCAGAGATGGGGGAAGTGATCTATGACAAGCCAGCAGTACCAGCAGATATCTTGGGGCTTCCTGGCTATCCAGATGATGTGCTGAGACAAAGCAGTTACTATTGGCCTCAGCGCTGGCATTGGGATCAACAGAAGCAGAATGAACATGACTACTGGTGTCATAACAGACCTATAATGTGAAAGCCAACAGATGCACCATATGCAACAGCCCGAGCAAAGTGTTGTTTGTTAGTATTGAGAGGCTCAGCAGATTGTTTGAAGCTGTGTAGGTCTCCATTTCAGTACCAGCAGCTCTGGACCTTTGTTTTGTGAGCAGGGGCAATAGCTTCACTATCTGTGCCAAGGAAGCAGCTGCCCTCACCAGTTCAGGAACATGCACTGAAGACAACTGTTCTAATGAGGGAATCACTTGAACGAGGCAGTGGGAAGCTAGGGGGCCAAAGAACATATTCTACCTTTGATACCGAAGCGGCTTGCTTCTGAGGTTGAGGAATCCTGTTCCAAGTATTTTGACATGGAAATTGTCCTTTCTGACTTCAGAGTTGAGGGCACTCCAAGTTATCTTTTGTGGACTGCATGGTGAGGGGGATCACCTCGTGTCTGTCCACAGGTAAGAATAGGAACACTCATGGATGAAGTAATCAAGGGAAACCCTTTATCCACACAGGTGTTCCAATGCTGGGGTAAGGGCAGCCTCTATGAGAATGTACCTCAAACACTCCTCTCTTTGCTTCTTAGTTCTTGTCTTGAAACCCAGGCAAATCGGACATACTTTCTTGACATGACCTCATCCAAACACTTCAAACAGTGAGACTGAAGATCACTCATGGGCATCATCTGTGACACCTGGAGCAGCACTTGAAGTCAGGGGACACTGATGTCCCTTCCCCACTTCCTCCCCAGTATCAGGCAGAGCCCAGATTCCATTGACAGGCTAAACAGCAATTATGAAAAGTAAAAGGAGTCCAAGAGATCAAAAAATGGAAACCACTTTCAGCTCACCTGCAGAAGGAAAAAGCTGACAGCATTCTCTGACCAACTGTAATAAGGAATTGAATGGAGGGCAGAGCAGCTCTGCCACTTTATACTCAGCTTGAAACACGAGGGACATCATAGCGCAGGAGTGGTCGCCTCTACAGACGCTAAGGAAAAACCTCTGGCATTGATGCAGAAGACACACACGCAGTGTAAATGGACATAGCCAATCATGCAAAGATAAACACGTAAGTAATATGAAGCAAAAAGTCAAGCCCACAAAGATGGATGGAGCAGCAAACTGTTATAGCAACTTAAGACTAATGGAGGACAGTCTGAATTGTTCCAAGATCACTTAACCATATCATAGAGTATAGGTATGATTAATAGTTCTGAACTAGATTACAGGTGGTTTGTCTTAGAATACAAGATCTTAATAATCTAAGAAACTACATTCATTTTAAGTAGCCAGATCAGAGACAGGAGAACTCTCCACCTTGCTTTGAAAGCTAGATTACAAATTGAAATCTTACAACTACTCATATTGTCTCCTCACTCTCCATTTGTACACAGAAATGCTCACTTACACAAACTGCGTTAATATCAGACACATGCCCCGTGAAGGACTGCCTGCACATTCCATCTCGAATATCCCAAAGCTTGGATGAGGCATCACAGGCACCAGAAACAAAAGTCCTCATGTCTGGACTTAAGGATAAACTCATCACATCTCCGGTATGCCCAGTGAAGGTGGTGGTCTGTTGACCAGTTTCAATGTCCCAAAGAGCACTGCAGATAAAACAGATTTATTTCAGCAATATAATAAGAGTCTCTGCAAGTTTAGCTTGAAAACAATCAAAGCACTAAAAAAAAAAAAAACCCACACCCCAAGAAACCCCCCAAAAATCCCATCAACCATATCCCCCTTCCAAAACTCACCAGGTCGTGTCCCCTGAACTTGTAACAATTTGGTTGTCATCTAGAAAACGACAGCAGGACAAGTATCCTAGAAACAGAATAATAGCAGATGTAAGTGTCATATCCCACTGCTGCAGTGAAAATTAGCCAAAAGCCTTCTCAGTATGTCTCACAATAACCACCACTTGATACTACTTGTATTTTACAAATAATAGTTCAGAAGCCAAATTCACCTTGAGTATGTATTGCTCTATTTGCTCAAATAGCTACCAGTAGTATCTCATTGGCAGAACTAAATAAACACAGAATTTAGCAGTAAGATTATTAAAGGCAAAATGAGTAACACACAAAGTGATTCTTAAAAGAGAGCAAAACCAAGACCAATTTATAGTCCATTTTGCAAATTGTTAGTACTTGTTTTCACCTTAGGACATGTTGCAAAGTGTGCAGGGTGGGGACTGTTTCACTTTGACTAATAAGTAAAGAAAAATAAATGGTAGTAAAATGCAGCTAACCTGTATGCCCTGGTAACTCTCTGCTCACTCTCACATTGCCCTCTCTGGTTTTCAAGTTATATATGGAACAGATATTGTCCAATCCACCACAAGCGACATAGTTGCCAGAAGGAGCATATGCACAGGTCATCACCCAGGAAGATCTCAAAGGAATGGCATGCATCTACAGAGAGATGAGGCGTATTAGAACTATACCAGATTTGGGAAGTCACAATGAACCACAGTCATTTCTTGTCCAACTTCCTGTGTCTAGTTAACCGTGATATTGCTTTAGCATTGCAAAAGATAGAAACAAACATCATCCAGCTAATAATGAATCTGATTTTAAACACACTTCAATTTGTGCTGAATATCCACTTGGGGGATGGGAAAATAATTACCTGGTCAGATGTGTGTAAATTCAGTACAATGATTTTTATAGTATCAAATTAAGGATTATAGTTTAACATGCAACAGGTTACATTCTTTTCAAATTCCTCCCTCTAGTTTATCTTCCCGAGCCAGAACTTCAGCTGGTGTAAGATTGACATAGCTCCACCAATGAAGCTATGGCAATTTCCATCAGCAGAGGATGTGCACCCCAGGCTGACCTCATTTCATCAAGTTCTCACTTTCTCTGTTCCAAGGAGTAAAACATCTATTGCAATGGATTTATATTAATTCTGTGGTTGTGGGCTTCTAGAACAGAATACAGAGCATGTGTCATAGAAGCAACAGCACAAATAGGGTGCACAGATGCAAAAACTACCGTAATAATGAGTTAGCTATTATAGTTCCTCAGAAAAATCTCTCCCCCCACTCCTCTGTCTCACACTGGCCAATGAACATCAGGAGCACTACTAATTCTCCATGGGATCCCATGCTAGGAACATTACTTCTGAAGCATACGATTCAGTTAATAAAAACAAGCAAACAATAGATACTAAAAGCAAAGGCTCAGCATACAGAAATAAGCATTATTCAAGCTAAAATGCACTTTTAATAAAAGCTGGTTATAAAAAAATGAAAGCAAGCTACTTAAAATTTCAACAGGAAAAGTGCTATGGCCAATCCAACTAAAAGAAAAGCGTTATAGAAAGAAGGAACTAAAAAGTATCAGTTGTGTACATACTTGGATGAGTATGGATTATAAACAACTCTACCTTATTTGTTGTATAACTATCCCAAATAATTAATTTTCCATCTTGGGAAGCGCTGACTAGTAGCCTAAAGATAACCACAAAACAGAAATATGAACATGTTAAACTTGTCTCATACTTAATTTCAAAATAGAAGAAATTGTTGCATGAATGTCAAATAATTCAGAAAAGCCTTTTCATTTTCTTACTGTATATATTTTTAAACTTTCTAGGGCCAAAAATTGTTGTACAGCTACAAAGAACATCCTATTGCATGCTGGAAAATCTTACCTGAATCCATGGACAAACACTATTGAAACCAGCTAAAATAATTGACATTTGAAACTGCTCACACTATTTACAAATTGCATAACCTCTTCCTACTAATGATTTCTATCCTTGCAATTCGGTGTTTCAGTATCAAATGTACTGTAAGTATTCCTGATCTATACAAGCACATAGAATCATGAAGTACAATTAACATCTGGAATCCCTACCATATGCTGAGATGGCTAGTAGCTATTCCAAAACAACAACAAAAAAACTTTTGGAAGGAGTTATTTTATATTTAAGAAGCCTTCCAGTATCACCCTTTTCTTCTAACAGAACTAATGAACAACTCACACCTGTTTTCTTCATTTAACTATACCTTTTTGGCAATGGTGAGTGTTTTCCAGAAATTTTGGAGATTTTTGATAAAAACATTCAATGAATCAATCTAAAACATTATGCATGTATTTAAATATTAACTGGATTATTATACTGAATTAGCTGAAGCACAGCATAGGCTCATTTATTGTTGTGATTTACAAAACACCTTTTAAGTCACTGAAAAAATATTGTTATTCCATGTCCTACAATGCTCTATTAACACAAAATACTTTTGCACTAAATCAACCATTTCAACACTATGACCTTTCATAGCTTAAGGGAAAATACAGTACAAAGAACTCTAAAGTTAAGTGCCATCATACACTAGGCTCTCAGATTTGAAGAATCTGTCAAACCATCTGAAAGACCAGACAAAATGCTTGTGCAAAATAAGAACAAAGCACATATCCTTACAATGGAATTATTTCCTTTATTATTTCTGTATCATAACTGTTTTAAAATAGGCAGGCTAGAATACAAAATTCTCTCAAAGTTTTCTTTGATCTATGGCCCTCAAAGATATCTAAGTCTGAAAGTATCTCTAAACTGCAATTAACTGGCCCATGCCAAATGTCTCAGACTAAGGAGCTGTTTAACCATGGTGTAGAATAGTGTTTCTCAATTGGTGCTCTGCAGAACCACTCCCCCGCCTCCCTCTTAAAGAGATAGTCTTTTTTTTTTGGTTGATCAAGTCTGGTGGTTTTTTCCCCTCCCTGCTTGACCAATTTTACCCTGGCAACCCTACGGGTTCCTTGAAATACTTTTAAGCTGAAAAGGGTTCCGTGGCCAAATAAAATTGGGAAACACTGCCCTAGTGCCTAGCAGGACCATGTCTCTGACCCCAGCACTCTGCCATCTGCCTACCCCAGTACCCTGCCACCTGAGCCAGCACCCTCTCCCCAGCCCCAGCACCCACTTTCACGCTGTCCCCTGCCCCCACCAGCACATCTGGGACCACATTAGTGAGGCTTGGGGTTTTTTGGAGGGTTGGTGTTGTGGGTTTTTTTTTGTTTGTTTGTTTGTTTTTTTGCATCTCACTTGTGTGGCCCTAACTGACTTTTCTGTGGGTCAGTGACCCTTGACTCAAAACAGATTCCTCACCCCTCTCATAAAGACAATGCTAAAACCTTTTGAGTTTGACAATCGTTTATTTAAAAATGAAGCCTGGCCAACAAGCCTCCCATTGGGGCCAAACTCCCATCTCACTGCAGTATCATAACATTCTTGCACCACCTGATCCCAAATCTGAGCCTATCATACACTGGAACCCCCTGTCCTGAGCGTCTTACATCCCCAAACTCTTGCATCCCCACATCCTCAGTCTTCTGCCACAACACTCCTGTCCTGCACCCTCCACACATTACAAATCTATGTCCTGAACTCATCATACTCAACCTTCTTGCCCTGAGTCCCTCACAGATCCAGCCCAAACTCCTACACCCTCACATCCACAAGCCCATGGCTTGCTCAGCACCCCAACCTTCCACTTGAGCCCAACACTCCTGAGCCTAGAGCCCCCTCCCCAAGCCAACATCCCCTTCTCCTGCATCCAAATTCCCTCCCAGAGCTTGTACTTCTCACTCCTTCCCACACCCAAATCCCTCATTCCCACCCCACACCTCCTGTCTCAACCTAGTGAGAATGTATAAGGGCTGGGAATAGCAAGTGGTGGAGAAGAGGGGAACAGAGCAGATGAGGCCTCAAGGAAGGAGGGTGGGGGGTCTTGGGGAAGGAATGTGATTTTCATGCATTGGTGGGTCCCTCTCCTCCCCCTTCCCCCCCTTTTTTTTCTTGCTCGACAAACCTAGGGGGTTCCTTGAAATTCTGAAAAGCTGAAAAGGGTTCCTTAGCCAAATAAAATTAGGAAACACTGCTCTGGATTAATGGCTCATTACAATTATCTGTAACCGAATAACCCTTCTTTGTCCTACAACTGCAGATGTGTCAACTGCCAACTTCACTGTGGTCTCTTACAATGTGATTAGGGATATAAAGGAGTAGTTGACTACCCGATAAGCTACTTAAAAACCAGTTCCCCCAGCACCATCTACACAGTGCAGCCCATCCTTCCGTCCCCTTTCCCTGCGCTGCTGCCTCTTTCAGAGGTGGAAGTGGTGGTGGGGAGGGGGGCAGGAGCTGCTTTGTAGCAGC